AAACAGTCGTTCCGATTTTTTTATTCTCGATCTTTTGCGCGCGCCGCGAAACTTCTAAAGAGGGAAAGAACTCTTTGTTACAAACTGCAACCATTCTTTAGTCATTTCAATGTAAAAAAAGCTCGGTCCAAGTGCGTTTGTTGTGATCGAGAGAGAAGAAAAATGTCGACCCGGTCTGGTCCAGAATCTTCTCTCTTTGCTCTCACGTCTTCATCTAAGTCGTTTTACTCGAGTAAAAGTGCTTGTAGTTGTGGATAACAATCTTGAGAGGTTTAGTCTTCTTCTTTTGTAGTTTTCCTGTATATCGATTATTGCATGATTCAATTGAATGCTCGCAATTATGCTCGAAATAAGCGCAAGCATGACACAGCTCAACACTCGTGTGTATGCCATGTTGGAAACGCACTCGATAAAAGAGACTGGTGTTGACATCTGACGTCAGCGTTTTCACAGCGTTTACGAAAATATACGTTTACGGTCGTCCACACGAAGACGCATAAACGGCGTTTTCAAATTTATCCACTTTGGAGAGCGTTTTCGAATTTATGCGTTTACGGTGAGCGTTTTCATCGTCTTTGTGTGGACGGAAGGCCTAAACGCATAAAAAAGTCTGCGTTTACTAGCGTTTGCGTTTACAATCGTCTTCGTGTGGACGGGGCCTTAGTTTCCCAGTGAATACATTACTGCTTTTCCGATTGCACTCCTTAACTTGGATATTGAGCATCAAAATGCGGACCTTTGGGGCCTATGAGGGGTGTGAACGCACCCCGTGCACCCCCCTGGTTACGGGCCTGTGTTACTGATGACTGTTGTATTCCAGAATATCTCTCGTATTGAATCATTTTTTGACCGCGTGAGATCCTAATAATGATTGCTCATTTTGTGTACACAAATGATGTCAATTTTACGATTCGACCAACGTGCGGAAAATTGTTCAAAAATGAAAAAACTTTTGAGATCTGAGGAAAACCACTTTTGTTCCGATGATAGGCAATGGTTTCCTTATGGACATGCAAAGTTTAAGGCAAGATTTATTTTTGAACCAATTTCGAGTGGTCGGAAATTGCAGACACGCTCTTAAAAACGTTTTTGACCATCCGCGAAGTGAGATCTTTAGGTTTTTTTAAATATAAAAATGTGTTTGGGAGTTGCCGCAAAGCTTCTTTTTAGTAGAGGCCGGGCCGCCAAATAACTACTGCGCCGCCTTAGTCGGCTTTGACAACTAAAGCCGGACAGATATTGGAAAGTTCAGAGCGGCACTGCAGACTTTGTTGAGATAATTTGGTTTTTATCGACAGGCTAAGTTTAACTGTAAATTGGCAACCTTCAATAGTGCCAGAACAGCAGAAATTTGAGGGCAAGTTGTGAGTATTAAGATCGGTTATCACTTGTGGCGCGTTCAAAATGAGTTTTTCAATTGCATTAAGAAAATTCTGCAAATTAGTAAGCTTTATTTACACGCCGTTATCTCTCCATTGAGCCATTTTAGTGAACATGTAGGCGTTATGGTCAGTAATTTTTTACCTCGATAACTTTCGTTGAAGAACTTCTTATTATCGAACTTTCACTCCTTACCACTGCGAAGGTGTGTTATTGAAATGTTTGCGTTACGAAGACGTTCATGCCAATACACTGGCAGATTATAAAGTTAATTAATGTCGTCGAAGCTGCGATTTATGTTCAAAAGATTTTGCGATTCTTGAAGAAACTAAGTACATGTACCACTTCCCACACTGTAAGACTTTAGAAGTAGACACACGAAGGCTTTACGTGCCTGTTCTTCATTTTAAAACAATCTACCTTCTCTTTCAAAGAACGAAATATTTAATCAACACTATATCGTGGTGACCGCACCTGTACACATCTTTTACTTTCATCTGCCGCTCTTAATTTGTAATACTAACGACAAATCCTGAAATACGAAACTGGCGTTTTTATTACCAGACTATTACTGTTATGTTTTGTCCCTAGCCTTTAGTGGATTCGCCTCTCGTTTTCACTGATCCGTCGCTTAACAGATCAAAGCGCACGCAAAACCACCAGCTACACAGGGTAAGGGAGAACTGGCCCGAGTTAAGACTGCTGGGTTCGGTAAATACTCCATCTTAGGCAGCTGATGTTTCTTATGTTACCGCAGTTTGGAGTTTGTTTAGTATACCGGGGAAAGATTATTTGTTAGTGAAGGTGACGGGTCAGGAAATCTGACAGATTTGTTTAGTTTTAGGTTACTGTTTGGTGTTTTGGACCTGATAGCGGGCGACAGCATCCAAATCACTTTGAACTAACCGATCAATAAAAATTTCCATCAATTTATCCCTTAACTCCCAATGTGAAACCAGAAAAAAAAAGTTCTCCAACAAGAAGCTCTATAAATAAGCTGCAGCACCGATGTTTTTGCTTTGATTTTCGCTGAGTTTCCTGGACAGTCACTTGAACCATTCATAGTTTAATCTGTCACGTACATGTGGCTTTATTGTTTCCGACCACACATTTTGATGTCACGGTTTCAGCTGCTGTAAATTTGACGGGTTTTATGGAAACTGTTTACGCTGAAAAGAATTATTGAAGTTTGTGTATGCTAGTGTTCCATATAAAAAACATGTTATCAAAACGTTTTTGCCCCTGTACGTCGATCTGACATTTTGCGCATTGGGTCAGGTTTTGGTCAGCGAATATGTCCCCTTATTCGGTTTTTTTTTTTTTTTGAGACTTACGCTTCATGTTTCCCTCTGCAGCGTGGGGGTTTCCTGTGGCAAGTGCGTCAAACTTCGTGAAATGAACGTTCTTGGGTGAATTATTTCTTGGGCATTTATCAATACCTGCACCATAAATTACTAGAATTGACAAACTTTTTTGTTTAATGTAGGTCAAATTTTTGCTCATTATTTGTTCTTTTTAGAAAACCCTGGTCCCTCCCTGCGAATTTGATTTTGGACGATCAATCGATGTTCTTATTTCGGGGGATGAGTTACTATAAAATTTCTTTTTTCTCATTCATTCTTGCGCCACAGATCTTATCAACTGTATGCCGTTTAGACTGTGTTTCATTAGGGAGACATAAATGTTCCAATTTATTGACCTTAAGCGACGGGAAAAAGCCTGATAACTGTGAGGATCTACCTGTAATCGATTATGAAATCGAAAACTAGAACACGTTTTTGCAAGGGCCGTGGCTAGCTTCTTTGCGGTTATAATCCTTCAGATTTAACTGGCTACATCAATGCAGGCAGATGTTCTTGTAACACAACTAAAGGGGTGCTTTTACCTTAATTGTCGGATATTTTAAGGAGGTCTCTTCCCAACGATGTTTTTTTTTTCCTTCTTGCCAAGGTGTAATGATATCAATACGGAGTTGATGGCAATTTTTAGAGCGAAGAAATTGAGTGATAATCGTCGCCCCCTTTTCCTGAACTTGTATGCCTTTGTCATTTTTATTCTGCCATTGGATTGCCACTTTGGCCCAAGAATATGATCAGATATTCCAGAATGCTTTCCACTTGTAACAGAAAGAGACAAATGTATTTGACTGTTGATTTACATTGAGACAGCTGTTCGTGTAAGGATAATGGCATATGCAGTTTAGATATGGAGATATCAAGGATGTCTGTACTGTGGACACTGGATCAAGCTATAGGCGCCTGCTTCTGTTACCTTTGTGGCCCAAAGAACAAAAAGTATGTAAACTTAAAGTTGCTTGGGTCTCTTTCTATCGCTACATAGCCACGAAATTAAAGGTAGACGAACCTAAACGAATGTTAAAACTATCCCTTACTTTGACAATCGTAAAATCCCGCAGGGGGAATTTCATTACACTTTTGGCAGTGAACATGTTGTTTTCAGATATAAACGAGTAGGCGATTTACTGCAACTTTTGTACAAAACAATGGTCAATTTCTTTGTCTTGTGCCTCGTTTGCGCTTTCCAAAAACTTGATGTTAAAAAACATAAAACAGGCAAGATTGAGTTGTCTTTTGTTTGAAAAAACATAACTTTTGGTAATAATACACAAGCCACAATGTCTTGCTGGGAGTACCAAACTGGCATATTAATTCTCCTGCTTAATTGATAAATTGTCAGATTTTCATAAAATATTGTGGCATATTGTAAGAAGTCAACTTTCCGCACAAACAGCGAAGCATCGCAGTTATCTTAAGCTAATGAAAGCGGCCGTTTTTTACATTCGCTACCAAATAATGCGCCAAACTCTTCGTCTTGGCTGCTTAAAAAAATCTAGTTGTTCGAGTAATCTTGAGTTTTTCAAGTTCCACAAAATAAAAACGATCATGGACGTATGAAAACGCCTCTTGTTTATTCGATTTTAAGGTTCTCAGCTATCAATACCGTACTTTGCAACAATTTCTGAAGAAGTGAAAATGTGAACTTAGGTAAGGATCTTTTTATTGTGAAAAGCTTTTGTGCCATCACTTCAACTCTGTTGTTATGCAAATGAAAAGTCTCTTTGTGTTTAATGATTTGAACAATTATCCCGCGCGCATTAATGGCGTATAAAGTACAAGACTTTCATCTGAAAAATCTACATCACGCAAATTACGAAGTGTCGCATCTTTCATATTTTTAGACCCTACCCGATACCAGTCGCGAATCTTCCTCTGAAACAGGAGGAACAAACAAACAACCATGAGATCGTATCACTTAGGCTCATTTTAAGATAATTTCAATCTGAGGGTCTCGAGGTGTAAAATCACAATTAAACGAAGAAACAATCAACCAGATGTCACTTTTCGATGTATGTATGTAGATGTGATATTTTGCAGTTAAATGAAATAAAATATACCCCCTGAAGTAAAACCAAATCACTTAGCATTGGAAATTAGTTTCTCATCACATGGTTTAACCTATTTGGAACCAAAAAAAAAAAATAAAAATAAAAAAAAAGGGGGGTGGTTTTTAAATGGTGGATTTTTATTGACTCTTATCTTGAACGGGAGGTTAGCTCTCCACAATCAATTTAAGTACACAAGTACGGGCGTGATAAAAATTTCCCGGTAGCGTGGGCCGTGCCGTGGGGAAATTATACGACCGGAGTGATTTTAGAGACGGGTGGAAATTCGAAGAGTTAATGACAAATGTAAACCAGAAGTGGCTCATACCGGAACCTCCCGGTGTTATCCTATTCAGCTTGACAGAGCACATCGACTTAATTGAAACGACGCTCGCTGATCAGCACAACCTAGTCTTCACAAGTCGGTCAAACAGACAAGTCAATAACAGCGTTATCGTTATTCAGCGATAGACTGTTCTTCAGAGTTACTTTCGCGACGACTGAGTATCAACAGAACGTCTCAATGATGAACTCTACAGTCACATCAAATTCTACAGTCAACAATTCAGTTGCCCAGAGTCACCCTTACATCTTAGAGCCGTCGCTCTCGCTTTTTTTTCGTCTCTTTGTATTCGTGCTTATCACATTGGCCAGTGTTTTGGGAAACGCTGTGGTTTGCAGAGCAATGCTGATGCTGTCTTATCGACAGCTGCCTCTCTCTTACTATTTGGTCACCAATCTGGCTGCTGCAGAAATGATCAGTTCGCTATGTTTTCCATTTTACTTTGCCTACGATTGGATGGGAGAGTGGCCTTTCGGTGAAGCTGCATGCAAACTGGTGTTTCCGGTTCAAATGACAGCCACGTTAGTGGTGACTTATACACTAGCTTTGATTGCAGCTCGTAGGTACCGAGTGATTGTGACATATCGCGGTCAATTAGGACCACTGCCAAAGAGAAAAGCATTTGTAGTGCTCTGTCTGTTGTGGAGCGCAGCCATGACGGTCGTCGCACCATCTGCCGTGGTGCACAGCGTTACTCTGTACGGAACAAAACGCTTTTGTGTAGCTTTGTTCCCAGGCGATACAACCAGCCATGCACCATCGCACACACGTTACTCGATTATTCGTCTCATTCTTACCTATGCTGTTCCATATCTCACAATCGTCATATCGTACAGCGCTGTTGCTCTAAGGCTAAAAAGACATATGGCTAGGGCGACTGCTTCCCGCAAAAGTGATTTGACAGATGACGGAACACAGCTTCCAACAGATGAACACGTGTGCATCCCTCTTCAACGATTGGAAATTGATAATAAATCGTCGCAAGGGAACGGATCCGAGGGTAACGCGAAATATCTCATCGCTAAAATTTGGAAGGGATGCTGTTGGAGGCGAGGGTCCTTTGACGGTCGCTCCACTCAAGGCCAAACATCGAAGACAGCAAAGCATCCGCAAGATGCAGTCGCAAACGTGACGGATCAAGAGCTGGATATCCTAAGGATGATATACGTGATCATTATTATCTTCATCATTTGCTATATTCCGATCCAAGTTTTGTTTATCTACGAGCAACTGAACGGCGGGCCCTCACCCTGGCCTTATTACCTAACTACGAGGAAATACGTGTTTTTATTGCATTGTCTTCCAGGGGCATTCCATCCCGTTTTGTACGGCACCATGAGCAAGTTTTATGCGAATGCATTTGCAAAACTGGTGATGTGCAAGAAATAATTGAATGGCGATGGTGTAGAGCGTTATTTAAGCGTTTGAATCTCTATTTTCCGATGGATCTTACAATTGCAGCATAAATAACCCCAAGATATTTCGGAATTCTCTTGACCCCGTGCTATTTTGGTCTTCCCAAAACCGGATATCTGAAGTCAATGCCTGGCGGACTAACAGGATTAAGCTGAAATTGGGAGATTTTTGATTCTGGCTTGCCATCCCCATTCAAAGTTTGGCACATTTATTCAAAGCCTCCTTGTCCTCTCTGATTTCTTCTGATTATAATACAGAAGCATATATAACCTCAAATTAGTAGTTGTAACAATAATAGGCGTTCGATCGACCGGGTGCAAATGATTTAGACCGCCTCCCGTGAGCGAAAGTTGAGTCAGCTACCTTCTTTTACCGCGTTCATCGCGCGCGTTCTCACCCGGATCACCCGCTACGTGGCCATCGCACCAAGTGAACGTCCTAAAACGGGAAGGACGCGGTCAAGACTGCAGTAACGGAATTACAAAGCATAAAGCTTTTTCAAGCATACAGTTAAAGCAGTAGTGATTTATAGTTTTCCATGGTAGAGAGTCTGATATCACATGTAAAAAGGCCAGCTGAAGCTATTAAAAATGAATTTAGTCCACATTAGCCGTTACATTAGCATAAAAGCTAGATAAGGAGGCTTACGTCGTCTGGAAACAGACAAAGCAACGTGCCGGAGGGAAGTCTGCCGTATATTCATTTGGCCGAACTGATATAGTTTCCTTAAGCTCTTAAATATATACTCTTACCACTTCAGATCGATAGAAATAACGAGCGTGGCGTGGCGTGAGGAAATCCTGTTAAAAGATTTTGGGAACGGCAACGGAAAATCATCAATAGATCTTTTAATCTATTTCAGGATCTTGTATTTCAACGGTAAGGACTCGCAGTTCGGTGAATTTCAGCCAATTTAAAAATCTCGCCCTTCAAAATTATGATGCCGCCAGGATAATACTTGATTTATCAGCTGTGACACAGTACTGTTTATGGAAACAAAACAAAACTGTTCATCGTATTCTAAAACATGAATCACATTTGATTTTCAAAAAAATTTTTCAATATGTTCTGAAGTATTGTGCTAAATTTAAAAACAGTTCTTCGTATTGATGTGGAGAAACATCTAAGCGAATTGAGAGTTCGAGAGATTACTATTTATCATAATGATCTTCGGACACGAATTGGAACTGAGTTACGCTCTTTTCTTTTTTGTAAGAACGTGTAATTTTGGGGCTGAGGCTAAACGTTCTTATTCAGTTTTTATTGCGATTTGAATCTTACAACGTTCTAAACTTGTTCTTAAAGTTGTGTGGCCTAGTATTTCAATAAATCAATGTTAAAAGAATTCCCTAAGTATTTGAGTTTATTTTCCTGTTTGATCACAGTTTTACATTTCTTTTACCTTTACCAGGAAATCTCAAAAAAAAAAAAAAAAAAAAAAGAGAGAGAGAGAAAATAAAGACGTAGTTAAGTGACTCTCAGCCTGGATACTATTGTGGTCAATCTCAGCCTGAACGCTTTTATAAAAAGGTCCCCATAAAAAAGAATGTAGCTCCGTTTACCTCGGGTTTTTTCGACATTTGAGACGATGTACCTTGTGTGAAGAGGCTGAGATATATTACCTTATTTATCGTATTGGTTTACCAGTCGGGCTTCAGGTAGGAATTTGACAGCGGTGGTCTTATTCCTTTGTTCTAGTAACGATACCGTAGACATCAATTTGAATAATTTTACGTGCGTGTAAATCAGTAGTACTGTTTTTCTAACATCCCAGCGCGTTATCCGAATAACGTAGACGGTATATGAACCGTCAATGACCAATCCAATACTGAGCCCAACAGGAAACTGCAAGCAAGAGGTGGTTTTGTTTGAAATTTGCTCAACAGAAAACAAAATCTTGAAGTTGTGAAAAAAAAAAAAAAAAATCAATCGAGTGTTATTCGATACGGTCCCTAAAAACGGTATAATGGGATTTACCACAAGCTTAAGTAAATAAACCCTTCAGGCGGATGGAATGTGGGCTGATAATGTCTGCAGTGGAAAAATGAATATTTTTCCGAAAAGCAAAAAGTTCCGAGGGCAAATGTGAAACTTTGAGGACAATCTCTCAGCCAAGAATGTTCTCGGCGACATACCGCAAACCAGAAGGGGGTTTACTTATTTTATAGCCCTCTAATTGATTTTCATATCGCGCGTTAACGGCAAATTTGATGACTCTTTTTTACTTTTTGGAGCAGAATTTGAGGAAATTTATGAGTAGGTAATAAAAGCCCAAAACACAAGCATGTGCATAGCGATTGTCATGCCACGCCCTCTATTTCAAACTTCAATCATGTACGTGGTTACCACGCACGCGTGCGAGAATCGTTCGACTGCAAGAAGGGAAAGTTAGTTTTTTGAAGCGCCCTGCATATCTTCGGTCAGAGCTTCGGAAAATTGTATCCAGCAATCTTAAACAGAACACATCACATTTAGTCTGATGGTTGTTGTTTTAAAATCAGTCTAGTGCAATTGATTAATTTTTTGTGGTAGCTTTTTTCTTAATTTTTTTTTCTCGAAATGAAATGAATTCTTCGCTCGCCCCGATCATGATAATTGTAAGACCGTTCAGTTTTCATCTATTGCCAGACAATAGTTACTGGAAGAATAACATAAGTCCTCTCAAGAACCTTTTAATAGACCTTTACTGCTTCCCTTTTTTAATAAAAATTCAATTTAGTATTATGCACGCTAAGTGCAATAGCGGAGCTCCCTATTTAAGGAAATATGATGAATGACCTATCTAGTCTCGAAAATTTGTAAGTCATGTGATGACTGTGCGTTGCCATATAATGTCTGTTCGACCGTTCGAAGAGATTCGTGCCTCGGAGAAATGTGCATTTCAGTAGAGTGAGATCGAGGTCTTTGTAGCGGTGATCTGATCAGCGTTGTTGTCTTGCCTGCATGACAGTGCTTGCGTAAAAATGAATCTTTGTAATTTTTCGGAAGTCGATCGTTCCGACTTTCAACTGAAGGTATGTTTCCACCTGAAAAAATTGTGTGTAACGTTGAAATGCGCCACAATAATTAGATCTTTCCTTTACGATTCAGCGTCACGTTCATGGAATAGGCAGGATTTTCGGAGGAAGGGGTCTTCATTAACGTCCCACTAGCAACTGGTGCATGTTAAGTTCTAGTAGTTTCATCAATTATCCCTTTTCTCTTTCTCTCGCAGTATGCAAGTAATGGCCTAGATCATTGTGAAGTCTTTGTGCTCAGTGGTAAAGCATTAGAGCTTCAGTTCCTCATGGATTGTCAAAGTTTTTTTTTTTGTCTCAATCTCGAAACAAACCGAACAAAGTCTTCCTTTAGATGTAATTTTTCTTGGAAGTATTTTCTGCGGAGAATTTTACAAAGGTTTTCAGTACTTTTTATTACTTATTCCTCTTTTCTTTTTCGTTAAATTACACTGAATACCGGCTGAAAAACCCTTTTAGAGGGTAAGGGTTTACATATAATTATCAATGTTATCATCATTATCATAGTTATTGTGATTGTTATTATCATCAGGTTTTAGTGAAGTGTTGTGAGAGTCTCAATGGGCCGGGGTTGAGGCGTAAAAATTCACAAATTTTAACCGTCAGTCGTGAAAAAAAAAACCGCAACAAAAAATTTCTGATTTCTGCAAAGGAAAGATATTGACCGTTAGCCGTAAAAACTGGCCAAAATTTTAACCTCTAACCGTAAAAGACATCAACCCATTGAGACCCTCATATTAAACACTTATTTGCTGTAGTTAACGGCTGACTGTCACATATTTTGCAACTATTTTCTCATTAAGGATCAGGAAAGTATATTTAGTTTTGTTTTCCGTTATCAATTTGTGTTCATTAAATAATTATTTCTTTCTTTTCTCTGACTAAAAAGCTTTTTCTCTACAGCAGTCTGTTCCGTGCAGATAACAATCCTTTACAGAATATGAACAACAAACTTTCTCAGCTCTTTAACTTGCAAGTTCTCCTCATAGTTTAAATACACTGTTTACAAATTAGGTTATGAGATAAGACAAACCTATTAGCTGGAGGATATATAATACCAGATCGAGTGTGGCTACATCAAAAGCTAAGAAATCACAATAGCCCATCAGAGCAAATTTAAGTACCCTAGAGAGCCAATGAAAACTCATAGTAAAGAGAAGCAAGGTCTTTAAAGCGCAGAATTTCAAGCGTGGGTGAACAAGTTGCGATTGTTCATGGTTTCGTACTTGATTGGTTCAGAAAGCGGACCGATCAAGGACTGAGCTTAGTAAAGCAGAACCCATGCAATACCCTATTACTTTCCACACTCAGTTGAAGGGGAAATTGCTAGTTAAATGTTTGGAATTCAGAGGGTTTACCATACACAGCTCCATAATCTTCTCAAAGACTGAACAAAATGTTTAGTGAAAGAAAGGCTCAAAAAACCTGACCGGGATCAGCAAAAATAAAGTCAAGTCTGTTGACGAGCCTAGTAACCCATTAGGCCGGTGCTTAACTCCGATTTCTGAAGCATCAAGCGACTAGGAGTATTTCTACTCCCCCCTGGATGGGATGCCAGTCCATCGCAGGGTTACCCCCAGCATTAAATTGCTGGTACCCATTTATACACCTGGGTGAAGAGAGGCACTGTGAGAGTAAAGTGTCTTGCCTATGAACACAACACAATGTCCCGGCCGGGGCTCGAACCCGGACCACTCGTTCCGGAGACGAGCGCACAAACCACGAGGCCACCGCGCCTCCACATCGGGATCAGTATTAAAAGAGAAATAGTTACAATTCAGTGAAAAGTGATACTTTACAGCTTTAACGACTTTTTGTGCAATCTTAATCGTGGAGAAGAATAGCATAGTTAATCTATTAACAATGGTCTTACATAACATTTACTTCTATCCACATATTTGCCGTACAACTAAAATAAAAGTAATCAGACTCATCAATCAGAAGAAAAGAAAATAATATTAAGAGCCAATAAGAATTCACACTAAAACCGATCAAACTCAACCCCAGGGGAATAGGTGTGATTGGTTTTGGTTTTGCGTCTGTTTGGTCGAGAGGGTGTCGTGAGTTTTTTTTTTTTTTTTGGACCACTGCAATCATAGAGCGATATGAAGCAAAAGCAACGAATTCCTGGAAAAGTTTCGACATTCAATTGAAAATAGCTTTACATTCAAAGTGCATTTCGCATAAAATCAAACCCAGATTCAAAAGTCTAACAAGAGCCAGAAACTGATGAGGAAAGCAAGTCGTAATCAGTTTTCAAATTCCACCTAGTTTTGACAAAAATTTCAATTTACGAAAAATAGAACACATCTCTCGCGGGATATTCAAGAATTTATAATCGAAGTGGAGGTGTGTAGCGAAGGATATTTACTGGGCCACGAAGGAGCATGGTAAATATCCACCACTCAGTCCACCAAAACTGAGGTGAATGACTGTTTTCAGAGCATATACCACATAAGAACCGAAAAAAGTGGTTTATTTCTGTCAACATACCGAAAAATGTCCGGAAATTGGTCTCTTCTTATCCGATTGTTCTCTTGAGCTGCTCTCAGGTGCATAGTCTTTGCTAAAATCTCAAAGCTAGTCAGTCAATGCGCCTAGAGAGCACCCTTCAAATGCATGGTATAAACCGGAATGATTTTGGTTTTGATGCAGTCTTAGCACTAGGGTTAATCAAGTGTGAAAGAAAATATTCGAAAGAGGTAACGCTCAAATATGCTGTCAGTTCTTCTGTTTTCTATAAAATCAAATGCGAGCCATAGCTTAATTCCCACCAAATATGAGAGCACTTTTCGATTGAAAGTCGCAAAACCAAAATCAAAGTAATCGCAACAGCCAATCAGAAGAGAAGAAAATATTACAGACCCAATGAGAATTAAAGTAAAAACAAGAAAACGTTTGAAGCGCGGGAAAATTAACGCGGACGATCAAATCACGATTGGTTTCAGTTTTTCATCTGGTTGGTTGAAAAGGTAGCACCACGTTTCTGGACCAATTACGGAGCGAAATAAAGGACAACCAAAGTAATCTCGAAATATTTTTTTTGAATGATGCAATGTAAGTCTTGTCTGAACTATGATTTCAACCGTCTTTATAGGCTCTACAAGCTATAATTCTGATAAACGCTTTGTGATAAAACTTACTCATCATTCCATAACAAACCGGATGCAGGGCACTAGGAAAGCACGTCAGAGCAAAAACGAACTTACTCGCAATATAACGATAAGGCCAGAAAATAAATGCGTTCACACGAAACTCAAACAAAAGCCAGCTAACTTGATAAGGAATGTAGCAAACGACAAATATCAAAACGAGTGCAAACACCATTCTTAATAAATCGTTCTCCAGTTCAAAGGTTTTGTTGTTGACGGGCGGCACTTCGCTAAAAGGTGAGACACTTTCTTTTAAGGCTTTCTTTTCCTTGTCTGGCCCTACGCCCAGTTTTTTGGCGTCAACCTTGATATTCACCAGCTCGATTTCCTCGCGGTTTTCCGTCTCCGATTGACTAAACAGACTGGCTCCTCGAGGTTCCTCTGGGTACAAAGTAGACTGATTAGTGACCGAAGAAAAAGCTTTGTTCTGCTCATCCCTTAACCTTGTTATAACAAAGATATGTTCCCGAATCTTTTTGCTGACCATCGCGTAGGAAACCACCATTATTGCTAACGGCAGGGCGAAATTTAATATGAAAACCACAATGGAATAGATATCCTTTAATTGTTCGTAACCCGGTGGAAATATTTCTTCACACAGAGGATGTTTATCGTACACTTTTACGACATGAAAAGCTGACGAGGGAACAGTCAGCACAAAGGACCCCACCCATGTGAATATTATTATGCAACGCATTTGTCTGCGGGTTGGTTTAGTGACGAGAGGCTTGACGAGGAGAAGACAGCGGTAAACAGCAAGAGTGGCTAGGGTCGTTGTGATCACCAGCAGACTGGCCACTTGTATTTGTATCAGTATCTTGCACATGGTTGATCCGAGCTTCCAAGACCACGGGGGTTCGTCGGCGTGAATTGTAAACATTATACTGACGGTGTTGAGGATTTCGGCGAAAGCCAAGTTGCTGACGAGGTAGTGAGCTAATGGTTTGTGGCCTGGTTGCCTCCAAACTGCTCGACACACAACGTAATTTCCAACCAGCGAAAACGACAGCAACAGGCTGACGACCACGGTACGAGCAATTCGTAAGGGTTCGGGCTCGGGAAGGAGTAGATATCTTGTAGCGGTTTGGTTATCGTATTGCGAAGGGGTTTGATTCATTGTAAACCCGGAACACAACGTTTCAACAATATTGTAAGAGATCTTGCACTTGCTTAAGTCTTCTTGAAAGTGCTTCCCTATTTCCTATGGCGTTGAACTTTAAAAGAACATCACGATGTGTTTTATGAAAGATCTGAAATGCAAATGGTATGTATAAACAAATACATCTATTTCACCATTTAGACAAGAGAGTATTAATTAATGATCCTCAAATGAAAAAAACCGGATGCATGGATTTTTTTAGATTCTACCACGACAACGATTAAAGAGATTTTTTTATATTTCTGATCGTGTGAATAGCCACATTACAAAATGCAGGAACAATAAGGACAAAGTGATATGCAGTAATGCAGCACTGATTCTTTTTTCTTTCGGCGTTGGGAATTTAACCCAAAAAGCCCGATTCTTTGTTCCGCAGTCATTTAGGTGTGATTCTTTCGTGTTCCGCCATTAAAAACCATTTTGTCTCTGTCATTTTCTTAGGTGAGAAAATATCCATTGACAAGGTTGTGAAAAGGCACTATACATAAAGATATATCTTTTTGTTCATAAACTTAAACTTGTTTTTGTATTTCCTTTCTCCTCCAGTACTCCTCTAGTTTGACGAAAAAGTTATTTTCACCTCAGGTCGCCTCGCTAAATTTTCAACCCATTGTCAACAAATTAAAGCTTCATGGAGACATCATTCATTAAAAACCTAAGAAAGCATTTACACTCTTCTTCAAGAGGAAGCGTATTGTTCTGCACATGTTTTCCTGCCATTACGGTTATAAAATGTTGTCATCGCGACATCACGTGAAAGAAACGCAAATGCATACCTACTTCTTTTTGCAGACAATTGTCCTGGTGTATCAGAAAGTTATGGAAATTGAAATTACAGAATAAAAAATCAGGTCGTTTCTGTAACATTCTTTGAAGAGCTTAGCGAGGAACCCAAACTCAGGTATTTAGAAAAAGAGAGCTGACAATGTCAGTTCACTTCCTTTCGAGAACCTTCGGCCTTCCTAACCCCCGCGCAATTCGAGTCTTCTATTTCTGTTTTGTTTTGAATTGCCTCACTTTGTTCCGCTTCTTTTTTTTTTTCTCAGTGTGTCTGTCCTGAATGCTACGCAGCAAGCCGGTTATTCAGATATATATCCTCATGACACGCAACGGTTTAATGATTATCATTTTTTTGTTGTTGTTGTTGTTAATTGTCACTTTAATTAAATCTTGACCTTCACCGCACGCTGTCATTTCACTACTGCTTCAATGTGGGCACGCATCGCTTTCATTAGTCGCTTGAACCGTTAACAGTTTAGGGAATAAGTTTTCCAAAGTTCTTGCTTTTATACAAGTTTTTTCATTTCGTAGCGTGTTTGTTTTAATGAAAGGAAGTTTTAGAGATTTCAACTACACCTTCCCTTTCGCAATGTCATGTTTACTTCCCTCGATTTGAAATGAACGGAAACTTTTGGTCAATAAAGAAAGGCCTGAAGATGAATGAGGAAGGTGGCAAACTGAGGAAGGAAGTTCTGAAGAAAACTTTATTTATGATCTGGGGATTTTTTTTTTTAAAGTTGTGATCATACGTCGAAGACTTAAAGATGAGCTCTTAGCAAGAGAGGAAGAAACAGACAGTTTCAAACAATTTTACGATCATAAAAGTGTTATTAAACACACGCCCTTGCCTCTGTAGAACTTTCTAGAAGCTAAAGTTAGTCGTGACGTGTCAGAAATTCGGGAAACTTAGAGGAAATTGCAAGGTTATCAACACAGAGTCCATTTCTTCTTCTTTTTATTTTTCACTCAACTTAATTTTCCAACTTCAAAACCATTTATCATTTATCATTAAAATCAAAAGTATTATTTTAGCTTTCTACAAAGCTCTGTTTTTGTACTGTTTTCTATCCAACAAGTCAGCGTTTTCAAGTTGATTTATCTCTGAAGAGCGCTCTAGAAAAGTATCTTATGGTGGAAAATTTATCCTGAAGTGATAATAGTAGAAATGGCGTTGCGTTTTCAAAGTTAATTAAGCTTGGTGTGGAAAGCTTTTCAGTTCAATGTTGACGTTGCTATTCAAGTGTCGTACTAATGTGACCTGGAGCGCTTCCACTTCGCCGACGAATTAGAATTATCGAAAACAGAAAAGTCTTTTTCCTAGTGACACTGAAGTACCTACAGAGAACGTCCTCTTTTTATGATCAATCATATTTCTGATAGAGTACTCTGTATTGAAGAGCTTTTGGGGAAAAAGAAAACTGACCGGCGCCTGTAGTGCTTATAATCAAGTTGACCTCTTTAACCCGCTGTACCGGTAGAAGTTTAGCCGCTCCTCTCTTATCGAAACGTAATGACAATGGAAGCAAATCAAGCTGCTTAATTTCTTAAAATACATCGAGTAAAGAGAAATTATTGGTTCAGTAATCCAAATATAATCCAAATATTATCTCAACCTCTTTCATCTTGAATGGCATCATGTTGAGCTACGTTAGACTTTTTTTTCTTTTTGCGAAAAAAGAAAAAAAAATATAAAGCAAAACAAAATATAAAAAAGGTTCGAAAATGACTCTCTCCAGTTGCTCGTTTTTCATGCAATTCTGAGGCCAAATAGTTTGCACTAAAATTTTTTTCCTAATTGTGCCCGGGCCTTGAAGTGCATAGCACGGTCAAAATATCAGAATAGCAGAGTAACTGTAAGTGTTTAATTAGTGGGGGAGGGGGGAGATTGGACACAGGGAGGGAGGGACAGGCGGAGGAGAGGTAGGTTTTATTTGACCTGCGATATACTAAGTATAGCTCACCAAACAATGTGATTTTGATTCATCCTCTGATGACAGAAGGTCAGAAAATCGTGGCCTAATTGGCTTAGAACCGAGCCTCTGTTTTAGGCCAACATATTTGCATGGGACAACCTTCTTCGAGCAAAGAAAAATTGCAAAGACACGATAAAATACCTAGAAGCTATCAAACTGTTGAAATTCACTTTAAGCTACGTGATGTTACAAGTATATAAAAAAGGTAAAATTGCTGTCTTAAGTGTTCATAAGGTATATCCAAGGGGAAAGTTGTCCGAGATATAAATGTGTTTACTGACCTGTTATGGGAACAGAGACCGACCGCCTTTTCCAGATGCACTTAAAGAAAACCTTTTTGCTCGTTATATGTAGTTCATTTTAGATCAAATATTAGATATCAACGTAACAAGAGCATTCGGCGCGTAAGGCAATATCACCGGCATGTTACCATATCCGTTTTATAAAAATAGTATTTCGACCTTTCAAAGAAGCCGCTTGTCTCCTCACCTTTTATCAACACTATTACAAAACCGATCATTTTGCAACTTTAAAAAGTTGTACTGAAATACAAACCTGAAAAATAATAGTTCTGAAGGTGAACCGAACCCATTCCGGCCCCAATTTAAAATACACGTCAAGCTTTGTTTATCATTTTGTGTGAAAGTTGGAGAAAACTCAACAAAGACAATATGGAAATTAATTTCTAAGCTTGTTTATTCTGTTATGGCTTTTAAAAGAAACTTCAATTGTGAATGTCACAGGTTATGTGTACATCTGCCATGCTCGTTTACAATTTCACAGTACAGAAAAAAGTATATCGTTAAACTCCCCCAATAGCTGAATATTTAGTTGACAAGAACGCAAAGCAGTTACTTAACGAATGCAACCCACTTAAAATCGCATTGCGGTAACAGTCTAATTGGTGGAGGACGAGCTTCACTTTTGGAAAAACGAATTTTGTCTTAATCAGACAACGCGGCCATACCGACTTAATATGTATAGTAGCAGTTAAATGAAAATTGGGTCGGTTTAAGCAGGCGCATGATTAAAAACGATTCAGTAAGTGGTACATCAAATACATCAAACACTCTTTCAACAGCGGGTGAACATTAATTATGTACCTTTAGTAAGAAAAAAAGGGGGAGGGTCAAACATAAATCATCTTTACATACTACCGATGCTATAAAAGAGGAAGTAATAGTTAAAATTCGTGGGAAATGCTGATGAAATAGATCGTGATGGTTTAATTAGTTTTTTAGTTGCGAGAGTAATGAAAGGTTAGATATGCTTTAGTATTATGATCCTTACAGTGATCCAATCAGGAAGAAAGCAGATTTGAGTGTAGGATATTCTATCATTATAGAACGCTCAGTTTTGAAACTATATTAAAACTGCAAATCTCGTCTCCGCCTCAGTTGCTTTCAATTTTCTTTTGGCGGGAATGATAAAATAATACGTCGCGCTAAGACTTCAACGACGTTTACGTAACATTTAAACGTCTAAACATTTAGCGTCTTTTCCCAGTGGTCCAAGAATACTTCACAGAAGGTAAATCATAACTACAAATCGCCTAGCTATGTCTGTAAAAATAAAAAAAACCATTTATAAAAAGTACAATAACAATGAAAATTCAGTGTTCCAGGTACGGCACGTAAAAATAAATGTTCCTCAAGTTTCCGTTTAAAAGTTTCGACTGATTGCAAGTCTCCTAATGACTGTGGAAGGGAGTTCCACAACACTGCTAAAGCCAAGGTAAACGACTGGCCACCATAAGACTTAAGATTGTATACGGGTGTCTTGAAAAGGTTTTTGAAAGATGAGCGAAGTGATCTAGAAGGTGTAAAGTACACTGCGAGAGGGGCCCAAAACATATTTATGCCCAACAACATAAACTATATTATTATTCTTATGCAACAGATCTGCAAGCGATATTCAGCACGCCAAAATTTCCATTTTAGCCCGTAAAATGCGCCACAATGCCCGACAAAGTAATAAGAATACATCATCGACAAGCGCCGAGTCGCTTGTCTATTTTAAAAAGTAAATGTACTCTCACATGACAGTTTCAATTTGGCCCAATTGATCAGCTTAGTGAATGTAGAAACTTGCGTAATTGCTAACGCTGTGACGTTGAAATGATGACTTGTACGGCGCCAAAGCTCTCATTAATCAACGTCTTCGACAAGTGGTCGCCAGCCTCAAAAGCCCTCTTACGTTTACGGAAGTCATAGAGAGAACGTCCTGATTGGGAAAGACCTCATAGCGAGCGAACAGTCTACTTTTCGTCTTAATTGCGTGGGTTTGTAGAGACCAGGTGTAATGTTTATTTTCTTGGAAAATGTGAACTGTAATTGTAATTATGATCATCTCAAAGACGACTTAACTATTTCTCTACACAATTTTTTTTTTTTTGGTTTATTTGTCGTATTCCACAAATCGGGTTCGTTTGTGGAACAAGTATTCGCAGCGTTTCTTCAAATGGAATTGCTACCAATCAAGAACTGTATATGAACGTTTCTCAGTGGTGACGTTTAACATAGCGACGTTAAACTTGAACATAGTGTCAAATTCATGAAGTTGTTCAACTTTGTCTATCGACAACTGATCTGAGTAGAGATCGATTAACTTAAGCATTGAGTCGATGGAGTGTGCTATTTAGGGGCCACCATTTAACTTTTGAGGGGGGTCTGGGTGATTTCTGGTCATCAAGAAATTTTTTTCTAGCAATCTCCTGTGCAGGATATTTTTTCCGTTCTTAATGCCCTATTTCTTCTGCTACATTTGGGCTGCATGCAATTTTTTTCTTCCAACAAGCGCTTGCGGGAAATTTTTTTCAAAATTACTCAACCCCCCCTCAAGAGTGAAATGGTCGGCCCCCTAGTTCGCTGAGAAATTCGTGGCTCTTCGTTCTTAGAGGCCATAGATCTTAATTTAATCCCCTTTACAATTGGTCATGCAGTCCTCCGCAAAACTAAACATTAATAAAAGTAGATAGTATTTTCACGGCATCTGTTTGCTTGCTAATGTACAAAAACTGCAAAGAGAAATTACTCATTAGCCACTTTCGGCATTAACAAGATGAAGCCCTCATATTGTGATGATGTAACTATTGCACAATAGAAATTTTCATGAAGTTTTTTTCGTTGACGCAAGAGCAGATGACGTGAGTTTGTGAGATATTTATAGTTTAGTTCGTACTTTGAGCGGGCTATGTTTTTTTAGACAACTGATAAACCCAGAGAAATTTTCGTGCAATTTGTGTAAGGAAATCAAACGTTGTCGAGTTCAATTTGCAATAGATGAGCATGAGTTGATTTTCCAAAGACTAAAATAAATCGCGTGGCTCGGAGGGCGAGAGCAATTTGCAGTCTCAGGAAGTTTTCGAGTTATTATTTACTCCACCCTTCCCTATTGATTTCAACTATCTGCCTTCAATTTCAACTGATTGCACTGTTTGGGTTTAGTCTAAACGCGGTCAGCCAATAAGCGAGCTGAAATTTGCGCGTGTTTTGGATAACGTTGAACTGCAAAAAATCTGCCTTGTTCCTCAGTTAGGCTTGTAGCTATGGAAATTCTCTGCTTGAATTGTCTTGCATAGCAACCATATTTCATACGGTTTATAACTGAGCTTTATAACTGAACCATATTTCATACGGTTTATAACTGAGCTTTTTTGATCGAGTCGAAGCTATTTGATTCGTGACAGTGGAAAGAGAAAAGTAGAACTTTAATTAAAACGCGTCTTGCCTGTTCTCAGCTGACGCACTTGTCGAGAAGCGAAGCTGTGAGCAATCATTAGAAAAAGGAAAATAAATATTTAAATTACGTAGCTTACCAAATAAAAACCTTGGGTAAAACGTGGCCTTAAGTGTTATTTTTTCATGTCGGTAAGGGATCACTATCTCCAAAAGATCCTCACAATTTTTCACTTTTTAGAGCGAGTTCCAGGGAAAAAGATTTGAGTCCAGTTTATTCTGCTGAAATGATCATGAACGCAACTTTGCCGAGTAACGTTAAACCATCAAACGCGCCAGAGAATGCGATCGAAGTGTACCAAGAACCCTCCGGGTTGAGAATTTTCCGTTTATCGCTCTTTTCGATGGTGATCTTCACAAGCCTCGTGGGAAACTTTATTATTTGTAAAGCAGTGTGGAAAATTACTCGTCGTAAGCCTTTTTCGTACTATTTGGTGGCCAATTTAGCTGTAGCTGAACTAATCAACTCACTGTGTCAGGCGTTTATCCTAGTTTACATGGAGAAAGGAAGCTGGATTTTTGGCGAGGCGATGTGCATCTTAGTCAACCCTCTCCTGGTGCTGAGCATGTTTGTGATTACAAATTCTCTTGCCGTAATCGCCGTATATAGCTACAGAGTCACGCTCGAAAGAAGAAGACCGAAAGCTTTAATAATCGCTGGCATTATCATCGGATTATGGATCATGGCTTTGGTAATTACGCTGCCACTTTTTATTACCCGCAAACTCGATAAAATATCTGAAGATCATTTCAGATGTGCGTCATATTTTCCTGGAGACTCTACCGCGAATTATAACAGATACACAATTGTTCGCCTCCTGTTCACTTTTGCTGTTCCTTACTTTGTCATACCATCAGCTTATTTGGCACTGGCCATCAAGTTGAAGTTATATGTCCACAGAATCGACAAAGAAGAAGACGATACAGCAAATATAGGTTTATCAGCTATTAAGACATTAAACGGTGCAGCTAAGCCTTGGGGAGTGGACATAGTTGATAAACGGCTTGATAACAACACGGTAGGGCCAGAAGAAAGGGAACAGAACTTACAAAACCGACGGAGAAATGGTAAGGTGATCATCGATACAGCTGAAAACCATTTGACGAAAATGGTTTTTGTAATAATTTTGATATTTTTGGCATGTTACTTACCTTATCAAGGCTACTTTCTCTGGGAATACTTTGGAAAATTCAATAATTGGCAATTCTATTATCAAAAGCTTTTGCTTGATTATCTTTTTGTACTAAAATGTTTACCGAGCGCTTTGCACCCGATATGCTGGTATGCGACTATGAATAGCATTTTCACCAGAGCTTTTCCTAAGGTTGTGGCATGTCCATGTTCTTTCAAGCCGTAAGCGCAGAAAGAAGGCGACGAGAACGTTTTCATGAGGAAAGGTAATCAGGCAGAACCATGGTTCTGCCCGCGCTTTTAAATATCAGGGAGTGAGCATTTGAGCCAAACATCGATTGGTTCTATATTTCTTATGAATTTTGCGATTCAGATCATTTTTCTACCTCCAGTGCCCTCCCAACACAACACGCAAACGAAGCATCGAGTTCGAAATTACAAACGGAAATAATTTGCCATCAAGGCTCCTGCTCTTAGACTGTGCAAAGTTTGACGATTGATACGCTTATTTTTTTTGTCGAGGACGAAGAAAAATAGTTTTAAAACTTACGTGAAGAGTTATTGTTCTGCTCGTAAACCTTTTAAATTCACCACTTTTACGTTGTCAAAAGCGTCACCTTAGTGACTGCTCTTAACACCAGGTGCAACGAGCTCCTAAATTTCTCATGGAGAATAGAGTCAAGCAATTGGAATCGCTCTTACATCTTTGGCCAGTTTAGTTAACGTGCACCGACGAACATTTCGAATAAAATTTTAAAGTAAAAGTAAGCGATCTAACGATAGAAAAACTTTTATAATTGTGGTGTCCTCATAATATGTCAGTTATCAAAACAATCGGTTTAGTAAATTTAGTGAGGTTTGGCCTTCGGACGCCAGTTTGAATATATTATCGTGCCCTCAATAACATGTCACGTGAACGTGAATCTGAGTAGCGATTGGCTTCTGTTTTGTTTTGGTCCGGGTTAGCAAATTTGATAACGATTCCAAAATGATAATCAAGTTTAAAGATACAACGTCGTTAAATGTCACGCATATAATTGGAGCACAAAAATAGCATAAATACAGGCGAGAGATGTTAATGTAAAAAATGCAATAAAAAATTTTCAAAAGCTTAAAAAGTGCATTAGAGTCGTAAAGTTTTTTGTTAGTACTTTAGTTTGCATTAGGTCCGATCTAATATTTCAAGTGCTGGGTTTGAATTTCCCACTGGAAAAAAAAAAATCGGGAATTATTGAGCGATCAAAAATATTCCTACATGTCTTTAAAATCAACAAATTGTCAGGTACGAAAGATTATCATTTTCAGCAACATATTTTATGCTTTCCCGATGGACCCTACTAATAATGAATCAGACTTGCTAATTTCTAAAGATCACATCAAAAGTTTGAAAAAAGGAAACTTTATTTTTCATGGTTGGTGGTTTCTCATCATAATATTTAATGTCGGGCTGACAAAGATCTTCCAAAGATCTTACAGGTACATTCACACAGAGTTGGCTGAGAGTTCAATGATCTGTAATATATGAGCAGATGTCTCAATGAAAGTCGGTTACCTCTATCCGCCATGCATCTTGTTATTGTACCTTAAGAGCCGGCCCCTTGGAGAAAGGGGCCCCCTTTCGGGCACAGCCACTTGTAACACCATCAGCAACCGCTTAACTCTTTACACCCTAATATCAGTATAGATATTCTCCATAATGTTCTCTACATTTCCTAAGGTGCTGACAAGGAGAATTTGTGTAACAATCAAAAGCTCCTGTAGATGTTGATCATTCCCATTATTCTCGCGACCTTAATCTGTGTTTCGGGAAGGGGGGGGGGAATATTGTAAGGAGAAATTAGATGCTGGTCACCCTTAGGAGTTAAAGGTTAGATGGAAAACAGTTATCGAAACCTCTTTAAATGACAGGAAAGGTTTTCGAATCTTTTGAAACAGACCTTCGTGGGTAGGGGTGTCAAAGCAGTTGTTAGGCAGTGGAAAGTCAGCGTAGCTCGGATGAGGTAGATTTGTGAAATGATTGAGCTTAGAATAATTACATCACAACCATCCGGAAACTTATATGGCTGACCAAAGTGATAAAAGATGATATATAGACCAGTGAGGTATTTGCCAGTGTGATACTGAGAGCAATTTTCAAATCTAAGGTGGACACGTTAGTGACTTTACTAAACAGAGCCTCTCTATGAACATTATATGAAAGGAGATTACAAAGCATAGCTACACTCATTTTTAAAGTTAAAAACGGATTAATGCCACTGTATATTACAGAAATATTCCGGTCTACCTATAAAGGCTATGAGCTCAGAAACGCTGATTTTAATATCCCGCGGGTTAGAACGTCCCGTTTCGGCAAACACTCACTTCGTTACTTCGGGCCGTACTCATGGAGGAAGTTAAGCTTCAGTGATCGGGAGAAAACATCTTTAAATGATTTTAAACAAAGAATAAAGAAACGAAACCCGACCGAATTGTTAAAAGACACCTGCGTGGACTGTGAAATCTGCTCATAAAATTAGCATTATGTACAATTTTTTTAGCCATCTAAAAGTATTATTAGCATGTAAATAAGGCTCTAGTTCTACATTTGAAATTTTACTCTAAATGTGTAAATAACTAGTATATTTATATTTAAACTTCTTTAGGTTAAGTAACTAAGTAGTGTCCCCAATTAGTTTTTACACTTGTAAAGCTAAACACATTGACACTTGAATAAAGTTTTTTCTTTCTTTCTATACAAACTGGACGTTAAAGTACGAAACCTGAGATTTATAAATTCCAGATAAGAAAAGAAGCACTGTCAAACTGTCTGTTTTCAAAGACACCCATAACGAGAAAGCATCCCGGGATTGATTCAGGCCTTACTCAGGAGAAAGAATAAACGCCACATCAGATGTGTTCGTGATGTCCACGTGAGCCCCCCCTCTCTATGGCGCGTTATTGGGGTCAAAATAAAAAAGATACATCCCTCATTATGAATTGAAAATGATATGTTCTTTGTCATCTAACTCTGCAAACTTACCTTCTTTCCAGTTTGAATTGTAAATAAAAGTTACATTTTAACATTACTGTATCACAAAAAAAAAAATCGGAAAAATTCCGTCATTATTCCTAAAATAAGACATTCCCCTGTGACTGTTGAATTGGAAACTTCCTTCTACCGGGGATGTGTGATTTGCGATGAACAAGGCATTTTGAATTGAATACGCAGATTTTGAATTGAATTCTCTCGACCAGGCGTACAAGACGTATCTGATAGACATGGCTTGGTCACTAAGCCGGTATGACGTCTGCCTGATACTTGGATCTTCGCGCCGTGCGTTCTTGCTGGTGATGGATCCGGCTACCCAGAATATTCTTCGCGAGTGTGCTGATCGGCCGATTCAAACAGCCGATCTAATCACCGGCTTAGTGACCAAGCCGTGTCTATCAGATACGTCATGTACGCCTGGTCGAAAGAATTCAATTCAAAATCTGCGTATTCAATAGCCCATTTTCGAATTACCCTTGGCCTCATTTTCAAAACGAGTCCTGGTGCTCATCCTTTCATAAGATAATAAGTTTTCATTCACATGCAAATTAAACTCAATTTCACAAGAATGGTTGAGCACCAGGCCTCGTTTTAAAAAAGAGGCCAAGGGTAATTCGGAAATGGGCTATTCAAAATGCCTTGTTCAACGCAAATCACACATCCTCAGCTGAAGGAAGTTTCCAATTCAACAGTCACAGAGGAATGTCTTATTTCAGGAATAATGGCGGAATTTTGCCGATATTTTTTTTGTGATGCGATAATGTTCAAATGTAACTATTCAAACTGGAAAAGAAGGTAAGTTTGCAGACTTAGATGACAAAGAACATATCATTTTCAATTCATAATGATGGATGTATCTTTTTTATTTTGACTCTAATAACGCGATATAGATGAGCAACTTGAACATCGATGACACAAAACTTGTTATTCCCAGTTCCTCCGGGGATCTCTGAAAACGCGATTCGATTAAAAAAAAAAAAAAAACTAAAGAGGAAATGACACCTCAGATGGGTGATTCATTTTGGCTTGATACTTTCGTTGTCTTCACGTTTAACGGATCTGGTCTGTTTCGCAAATCTTTTAAGTGAACAAAAGGAACATCTGATACTTATTGACATTTTGCATGATAGCGGTTGCTTTGAGGGTTTTCCTTTGGAATTTTGCGCGGGAAAGTGGCGCGCGGCCGGCCGACATTGATCCATTTACGCTTGCTCAAAGTATAAGCTCCAGAATCGTTGCCTACTTATCACAGGCCCGTAACCAGGATTTTATGTGGGAGGGGGGGTGCTAACGAGGCAAAAGTGGACCAAACTACCGAATTGTACTTTTATTGTCTGATCCGTTTATTTAGGAAAGTAGCAATACATGAGAAATTGTAACCGCAAAGTACACGGTAGAAACGGAATATTACATCTGTCGAATACAACTGTTTGAAATAAGTTACAAAGGACTAATTTTACGATGTAAAATGATACATCAAAATACTGTGGAACTAATCCCTCAGAATAGTCCCGAGCTCCAGCCTCCGTGGGTGTTTGGTGGCAAACAGATTTACCACCTCATCCAAAACAGTTTTAACTTGATAACGTATGTGCATTAGTGCGGGGGACGACAGCCTTTCCCGGCCCATGCATGCCCTGCTATATGTATGCAGCCGCCTTAAAGAACTCGCACTTCTTTCACATTCACAGCTCGTTGCAGGAATTGTGGCGCATATCTTGAGGAGCGCATATATATTTGGAAAGAGATCATCATCGCACTCCTTAAGAGCTTTGCG